GCCTTCCTAAAGGTTTTAAAAGCCAGATTTCTTTAGACACTTTGTATATCTCTTCTTCTTTCTCATATCTGATATTAGCAGGTAAAATACTCTGATTTTTTTTTTCTCTGAACATAATTTATTTATTTAGTTTTGATCATACCAGAATGTATGATGTGATTGCAGCCAGACTTCTGTATGTCTGGTTTACGGCACAAAGTGATGCGCAGAAGAAGAATATCAATGTAACACAGCAGCAGAATATGTACAGAATGGATGGATGCTAAGGATGGATGGATTTTAAATTTATTCAGCAGTGTTGTCACAAGATCATGAGACAAAAGAAGCTAATAAAAAGAAGCACAACTAATAACAATGGCATTTTATGCTAAGGAGAAGTCTGTTTGGAAGCGTAGACAGATTTGATGTGATCCACTTCACTGACACAGACTTTGTTTTATAATTTCATAATTTTCAAAATTATAATTTTCACCCATTGTTTCTGTCCATATTTACCACGTCTGACTTCTTCTGGTGCAGAATTATGATGCAACTTTGAAAACTATTGGAGACGGGTCCAATTTAGCACCACATATGGATGAAATCAGATATTTGGGAGTAAAGAAAATATGGGAGTCGGGTCGTTCAAACTGCTTTGAATAAATCAGATTTGCTTTGTGAACACATCTCCACTCCCTACTTCACGCCTGATTATCATTGGCGACACTTTCCTTGTTCAACGAGTCTTTGCTTTGCATTATACAGTTTATACTTCTGCACAATATCTTTGAAAAGCTTTAATAATTCTTATTCGTGTGTGTTTGAGGAAATGTTTCTGTAAGTCTGATGAAAGCATTCTTAGGACAGAAGTTTCAAGTTTTGTTGTGATGTTTTCATTACAGTAAAAATAAGAACATTCATTCATTTAATTGAATGCAGAAAATTAGTATGAATTAGTATCTAACAGGGCATTAAAAGGGGAAACAACACTTTGTTGCTCGGTCTTTTAAAAAGCACTAAAGTTCTTCTGCATGTAAAGCATCTGTTTGTAGTCCCCAGTGCTTCCTCTGCATGATAAAACTTTATCTCTGTAGATCCTAAACTTGCTCTTAAATGAAATGCTGTCAGAGGTGGAGTTGCAGCTTAGGACACATCAGCAGTTTTTATTTTTAAACCCATGTGCTTAGTAGGTAACCTGTTGGCAAGATCTGAGTAATGGACTGTCTGCCCAACAAGCCCCCAGGCTACAATTAGAGGAAACCTCTTGTTCCCCTCTGTGTACATAACTCACTGCCCTCTTTTATCTTTCTTTCTCAGCTTCTCTTTCACTGTCTCTCTTCCTCTGTTTATCTGCCTTCATTTGCCTCTCTTCATTCATGGCTTTTACCTTCAATCAGTCACTTTAAAAGCCATCAAGGGATACATTTGGCAGGTACACACAATATTTTAAAATGCAGACTCACAAATTGACTGTGTGATTAATTCAGGCTGATGGTTGAAAATGCTGATGTGAACACCCTGCCTTTCCTTTTCTCATTCCTTTATATTAGAAATATCATCCTTGAGTATTTGCTCATTTTTGTGAGGTTGAAAAGGTAATTTTTATGTGCATGTCAGTCTGTTGTAAAGGATTATTATTTTTTGTTTTTGCATTCAGGTGTGAGCAATAGTTAAGTTGATGCTTGTTTTGTTGCTGCTTCACATAAAGGGTGGCTGTGATGTATGTTTTTGTGCCTGGCTATGCTGGACATCCTCATGCATGTGTGCAAACATTGATAAGGTAAAATGCTCTCTCTGTTTTTAAAGTTAAAATGAGTTACTTGAGTAACATTTGCCAGTACCCTGAGGAGTTTGGTAGACCGGTACTATAATAACAGCACCTTCTACTTTACAAGCTTAATAAATTATCATTCCTGTTCCAGAAAACAGATCTTTAATGTGTTTAGTGATTTTAAAGTCTATTCTTTTTAAAATTGGGGCGATGTGCTCTCTCTTCCTGGTTTTAGTCAGAATGCCAGCAGCAGCGGTCTGGATCAGCTGCAGCTGTCTGATCGATTTTTTTAGACAGACCTGTGAGGACACTGTTGCAGTGATTAGTGTGACTAAAGATAAACGGATGAGTCCTTTAGTCCTGTACTCAGATGATAGAAGACTGTCTTTGTTATTGTATTTATGCGTTTCTGAATGGTTAGCTCCATCATTACACCCAGATTTTGAACCATGATCAATATTGGCAAACTGATAGTTCCTCTTTTGTCAGGAAAACACATATTCAAATCTCTGGAAATTAAACGTTCAATCATAAGTGTACGTTAAAGATCTTCCGTTTTTAAAATATAAAATGAACTATTTAACAAATGTTCTTCTTTGCTGACCAACAGTGATCCAGCTGTGTATTTAAAGTAATTACAGTGTAAATCTCAGTAGCTGCTCACACTGTTGTCCACACTTTGAGGCTTTTGGAGGATCACTTACAGTTAAGAATAGCCTCGTCTTTTATTCCAGCGTGGCGCTTCCTCTCCTCTCTAATCAGATCTACAGATCGGCTGCCCTGCTGTTACTCCTGTCTAGAAGCAAACAATTGTTAACAGCCTCCTGGATCACTCTGTCAGCCTTTTGTTTATTTTATTTCTGTCAGATCAGGTTAGATATTTCAGTGAAAGAGCCTCTGGTTGATGGTGACACTGATGGTGTTGATGCTCAGTAACACAGCTATCAGTTTGCTTTTTATAAAAGATGGCCTGAAAATATCATACTCTGTACCTTCTGTGATTACTACAAGGCCTTTGCTACTCTGAACAATCACTTTAAGTGAATATTCTTCCTTGTTTGAAAGTAGTTCCTGTTTTGTATTTTGTCATTCTGTCATTAATTTCTCCAGTTCCTGTTTAAAACTTAACAGAAACAGATTTGTAGGGCATAATGTGGAAATACCAAAACAAACTGCTTCACTATTCCAGTTCCCAGTTTGTTAAAAATTCTGCTTAAAGGAGACTTCTTATGCAAAATTCACATTTTACATGTTTTTGTACTTCTTTGCAGCTTCTTAAAAAGAAAAATAAAGGCATCTGGTTTTTGGCGTGTGGAAAATGAGCTGTTTCAAAACCCTCTAGAATGTAACACCACAGATCAACAGGCACTGCCACGTTGCCTAGCAACACAAACTGAGCTTCAGCACATTTGGTCGACTGGTTTTACCACTTGTACGCGCTGTACAATGGCTGCTGGAAAAGACGAGTGTTTGGTTGTTGACTTACCATCCATAAACAACTTGCTGCATTCTTGTTGGTTGTGCAGGAGGCTCTACTTCTGCTTTTCAAAGCTGCACAGTTGTATATTTGCACACCTGTTTGCAGCTGTTTTCACATCCAAGTGTGCATGTTTAGTTGGGGGCGTGGCCAGCAGGAGATTAATTGAATTTAAAGTGACAAGACGCCCTAAAACGGCTCATTCCATAAGGAACTCAAAGCAGGCAGAACTGAGCAGACTAAAATCTCATTATCTAAAAAGGATTTTGTGCCAAAAAATGTGTGTTTTGTATAGACTATAGACCTATGGTAACCTGTTCAAGGAAGCATAGTAAGTAGGTCACCTCTGAAGTAGAACTGTAGATTTTTTGATCAACTTAATCATGTTCATTTTGATTCACCGAGGCGCACCTGTGCATTTGCAATATTACTTATGATCTTTTAATAATATATTTTTAGTGACCCATTTAAACCTATTGGCATATTATTAAATTATAGTGAATAATGGGACCTTAGCATTTCCCAGACTGGTCTCTCAGCTCCTTGTTAAGTTTATTGGTCTGGATGGACGGCAGGGGTCTGATGGCCATTAATGTAGCACTGGGAGGAACAAGTAGCTCTGTCCTCATTAACTCAACTAATATATTCTACTTTTCAGTGCCGGAAAAGTGGCCCAAAACCATGGAGCCTATTTTGGGATGTGCTAATGCTGTTAGGTTATATGATGCAAAAACTAGAATTGATTAATTCTGTTTTGTTATTTACCATGGTGGAGCTAAGCTGTGGCAGTGTAATGCAGTGATGCAACTAATGAGGCAGCGGTTTCCTTAGGACACCTTGGGGCTGAAGCACAGCAGCACCTCAGACGGCGCGCGCCAAAAGCAGACGCCTCACTCCCGCGGTCGCTCGCTTGTTCCTGGTGTACTGCAGCAGGACAATTAGTGACTCTTCTCTTTTCTGTCATCAGATCCTCCTGACTGAACATTAAAACTGTTTTTGTTTTACAATGAATGACAAAAAGAACAAAGCATAAGCTGAAGAAAAAAGACCTGAATGTTAAGACAGAAATATATCGTCGTGTGGTGTTTACTCCATGAATAAGTCATGGATATCGACACAATGTGGTCAACTGCTATATTGTGTCTGGTAAGATCTGTGGTTCACCTCAGGGGTGTCCAAACTTTTTGTCACTTGGGCCAAAATCATCAAGTCACAAGTTGGGCCAACAAAAAACATGTTATAAAACAAAAATCATGGAAAATGATGAGTTTTATTCTTTCAAAACTAAACTAACCATGAAATATATACAGAGTTTCTATGAAATGATGTGTAAATCATTGGAGATCCAAAATGTAAAAAGAGTTTTGTGCTTCTGCTTAACTAAAAGAAAGTCATGAAGTTTGCAAATTATTTTTGGCTTGATTGAAAAAAAAATATTGTAAAAACTTTTGCCACTCTCAGCAATAAAAGCAGGATTTAGGTCACTCTTTTCTTGAAACTGCATGCTGTATTCAGCCAAGTTTAATAAATTATTTAAATTAGTTAGATTTGGAATTCACTAAAGTCTGCATTTAACTAAAAAGGGTAGATGTGTTCCTATTTACTAAGAAGTTAAACAGAAACAAAATGTTTATGAAAACGTTGCTGTGTTTTGTCAGTAATAACACCTGTGCAAACCATCAGTCTCTTAATGTGCGTAGCTGTTTGAGACAAACCACCAAAAAGTTTGCAGCTGTAATTGCAGCAAAATGCGGTTCTTCATAACTAGAACTTATGGAGAAGATTGTGAGTGCCACACAGATTTGTATCTGTGGAATATATTAATAACTTATCACATCAAACAATGTTTAAATACTTGGAGGTTTGTGCCGACAAACTGTGAAAAAGTTATAGAAATGTTAATATTTTTGCAGGCACCCTGACTAAGTGAGTTACAATACAATAAATATTCATGTAGAGCACAATGAAAGAGGAAAGGTGCATTTTTTTCTGATTTTTTTGCAAAGAATAACTTTGGTTGTGAGAGTAACAGCTATAGTTTTCCCCAAGTTAATTCTGTATCTTATATTTGCTCTTCCCCATAACCAATCCTCAGTTTTCACCTAATCAAGGTTTCATTTAGTGCGTAGCATATGTGGGACATCTCTCTGAAAGAAGAACCTTGTTAGTTTGTAATAAAAGGGAACTTGGAAAGCATCGTCTACTTGCTGTCTGCCTGGAAAATAAGGGGCGATGCTGCAAACGTTTAGGACACATGGATGCTGAAAGAGGACAGATACGAGCTGAAAAGGGAAAAAAATACACAAAGAAGCTGAAGCAAAGGCACTGAGGGACATGAAGTAGAAAATAGAGGAGAGTGGAAGTGGAAAAAGCAGCCGATAAGCAAGAAAAAGAAACAAAAGGCTGGGGACTGAACACTACAAAAGACCGTGCTGACAGAAACTGCAGAGAGGAGGAGGAAGGGATGAAAGAGGAAAAGGAAAGGGATTAGGGAGCGTAGAGGACGTCCTCTCCTAATTTTTATTTATTTTTTGGTATTTTTTGAGTAATGAGGCTGTTAATTAGCAGAGGCATGCATGCTTTATTAAATCAAAGTGTTTACAACTTTAACTGTCAAACAAATTCTGGATGGTATTGCAAATGTTGCCATGGTAATACGGCCGTAATAAATGGGTTTAACTGTGATGGAATAGTTAAGCAAAGGTAAGAAAGTAAAAAAGAGCTGCATGTTATTTAATCTAACAAAGTTGCATCTTTATCCTTATTTATGCATCACACCACAGAATCACTCAAAAGTATTCACACCCCTGTCGAAATGGTTTGTTTTAAAAAGCTCTGGAGAATCCCCATGTTTTGTAAAGAAAATATTTAAATCTGCAACAAATTGTTTCTGAGGGCTGCACATGATGCCAACATAAGGCAGCAACTTGATCTTTATTTCAAAGAAGGTGAAATACATCTAGCTATTTTTCCCTTTGTGGTTTGAATATTTTTATAAAATCTACAGTTCATAAATTTCCACTTCATTTTTTTTCTTATAAATTTAGCCCTGTTATAGAAAAATTTGCAAAACTTTGAAATTTAGATCCTCCACATCTAGAAAACTTATTTTACCATCTGATTGTGACAAAAAAAAACTGTCAAAGTTGTACTTTATTCCTTTTTTTTTCGCTGTAATGTAATGTTCTTCCATTTCCAACACATAATATACAGAACAAAGCGCCACCTCCTCACTACAAATCTCATTAAAGCAGAACACACAGCTGTGCCAGCAGCTTTAAATCCTCTAGTTGGAGTATGGCAGATACATGGAAAGACTCTGAATCTTAAACATAAAAAATGTAATTAAAGAAATTATGTCAATCAAAAACAGTGGGACAGGCAGTTGGATAGATGATGTGTGCACAATTGTGTTACCGGTGGTGTTATATGCTTACGAAGCTATGAACTCATGCAGTGGTGTAACTTTTCTCAGATTTTGACTTTATATTCGTCAAAATTTGCAGTGAAAAAGATGTATCTTTAAATTAAAGCATATATTTTGGAGACTTTTTTTAAACTTGCAGTAAAGATCGAACAGATATTGAGTCTTTTAAGGCTCAGCCAGATTTTTCTTACTCTTATAAGGTCATACAATTGTAATCCTCAGAACCATTTAAGATGCTGCTCTATAACAAGACAGATAAATGAATATGTATCAAATAAAACATTATATTTGTTTCTGTCTGACATCAATTTACCTGTTTAAGGTAGTTAAATAATTTCTATGCCCTAATTGCCAAACTAATGAGAGCAATCTTAGAGATTTTAGTTTAAAAAGTCAGATGTTTACATAAATGTTTTTAGTATTTGATCAAATCTTTTGTACCAGACTGGTGAAGGTCTTGATACCTTGGTTGATTTCTTTGTACAGTCATGATGTCACAGAAGGAAATGGTGTGTTTGTAGCTGTGAATTAACTGAAATCAGAAGTTCACAAAACCTTGACATTATCATCTGGATGCTCCTTAGTCACTCTCATGTATAGTAAAGATGTATGCAAACTTCTAAGTTTGAATAGAGTAAAAAAAAAAAGAAAAATGGCATTAAACAATAGATGTTTGTAGAGTTTGTGCATCGTCTGTTATCAGCAGAGTAACAGACAATGAGGTCAAACATTGCAACACATAATACTGGAACAATTCAGTTTATATTTCATCGTATTGTGAAAAAAACTGGACTGAAAGTGATCTGAATGTAAACTTTAAGAAGGATGAATTTAAGCTCTGTTGGTTTTGCCTGAAGTATGTTTACCCTCTGTGTTGCAGGACTCGGCACAGGAGAGCGTCATCACCCGTGACATCCATCGCACGTTTCCAGCACACGACTACTTCAAAGAATCCGATGGAGATGGACAAGATTCACTCTACAAGATCTGCAAGGTGAGCCCAGCTCCTAGCAGGGAGGCTGTGAAAAAACATGCAGTTAGTTAGCAACAATATTACCTGTCGGCTTCTGTATATTGTTTATCAGAAAATAACATTTTTTGACTATATTATTTGTTTAGATGTTTGTTGGAGTTACTAATTATCAGATATCATAAATTTACCTGTCAATATAATGCAAAACATTTTTTTACCCTTTCATTCTCCAAGTCTCATCAAGCTTAGTGGTTATTTTTGGTTTATAGTTTATAATTTACATTGTTTTTGTCTTTACTGATACATTTGTGTCAGTCTGTCCTACAAGTATGGAGAGTTGATCCTGCCAAAATTAGCAACAAATAATATTAAATAATTATTTTTATTTATATTATTTATTAATATGACTAACTACAATATTAATCAGACTAATAAATACATGGTTTGATAAAGAATGTAATGTGCCAAATATTGCATCCAAAAAATAAGAACTTATTATTTTCAACAGTATTATTTTAATATTATCTTTTGTTAATTAGTTTCCTTTTTTCATTAATTTATTTATTCTTTTTTCCATATTCTGTAGTTACTTGGCAATTTTTTTAATTATTACCTTTTTTTTGCATACATTGATTTTTCTCCCTTGTCCAATTATTTAAAGACTTTTTCTGATGTTTTGTTTTTCTTTCTCTTTGTAAGATGCACAGTGACAAAGGAGCAAGACTGGTGGGTGGAGATTCAGAGTCAACTTCTCTCCTATTGGTCAACTTTGCATCTTGATGTTGACCAATAGAAGACAAGCAGACACTGAATCCACCATTTAGAATTTAATTGATGGCTCAATGGTTGCTTCTGACATGCTAACATGCTAAGAGTTATCATTAAAGTGATTGCTGCCCTCCTCCAACTTTTAAAAATCATTTTAGTTTTGTAAATCTGCTTCCATTTTGATGTAATTCTGCAAAACTAAATAAAGAAAGATGCTTCTATAACTAGAAGCTCCCCTGCGCTCTCTCATGCTGAGGCAATTTTCTATGAAGATACGCTTTTTTTCCAGACAGAACCAAGGTCAGCACCATAGAAATGTGTCAAAGTGAGTCCTGCTCCCTGCCTATGCGCTTCTTTTAACCACAGTGCTGCTTTTATAAACTGTTCTGCACATCCTGGATGTATTTCCAGCTGTTCTGTCACAAACTTCATTATCTCCCCGCTGCTCCAGTCAGTCAAGTTGCTCCACGGCTTGTTATTCTCAAATATCTACCATTTTTGTCACATTTAGCAATCAGAGCTGCAGGATGGTTCATATCATGCTTTCACTGGCATAAACCAAACATCCAAATTAATATCTTTTCAGTGAGATGAATCTGTAGAGGAAGAAGACGATGTTTAATTTTTAAGAACCAAATATACTAGGAGTTTATTATCCTGCCTAAAATGAAACGGTCACAGTTGTTTTTCTCTGTATAAAGTAATTGAGAACAGTTACATTAACGTTCACCATATTAAATGACATAATAAATGAATAATATTTTCTGTATTATTCTGCAATATAAAATAAGATTTGTTGTGAAATGTTCAGCAGTTAACAAACTTAAAATGTTTCTATTTGTATTCAGTTGAGCGTCTACTCCTCAGCAAGTAGAAACATTTTAATCCTTAAGTTATTCAAATATTATTAAATCACAAGTTGTAAAACTAGTTCAGTATAGAATTTCTTAATTAATACCAAATACGATTGTCACAATAACAAATTTCGCTGGATAATAAATTGTCCCAGAAATGATATTGTTGCTTTGAGACGATTTTCAACTAATATATTGATAATGGGGTAATAATGTAAGTTCATCCTCTCAGGGACGAATAAACTTGAATTTTGCAGATAACACTCCACATTGAAACTGGAAAACAATTTAAATATCCAAAATAAAAACTAAGCACAACCAAAACCATAAATAAGATGGATTATGAAGTCTTTCTAAACAAAATGTACCCTCAAAAAACATTAATCACTAATTTGTCGTGTGAAATTTATTTAAGTTTGTTTAGTTTTCAGATGATGTGGTCTTCATATTCATTTAAGCTGAAATGTCAAAGAAAGGAGCTTGTTAACCATGAACTGTTGTTTCCCAATAAAACTGAAGCTAGTTTTGGTGTAATGTGGTAAACTGTAACTTACACTGCTTGTGTTTGTTGCACAGTGGAAACAGAGCATGTTTGGTCAGTGCTGCAGGAGAACCTGTCAGGGAGGTTTAACATCCACTCTGGTCCCAACTGGGTCAGAGTCGTGCCAGCCTTCATTTGTATGCAGATCCATGTAGATTTTCAGCTGTTAAGGTTGGTTGGATCTTCAGGCTTTTCAGACATGGAGGATCCAGGACAAAGTTCATTCTCACCTTTATAGCTTCTTCCGTTTCATGCCTGAAGTGCTTCGTTTCCAACCTTTATTCTGTGGGGAAGGTCACCTGCTGAATTGGTGCGTTTTCTCTCTAAAATCTTTTGTTTCAGAAACACTACTTGAGACACAATTTCCTCCATCAGCAATAAGCTGGAAAATAAAACCTGCAGCTCTTTTCTATTTTTATTAAAAAAACAGAATTTTTCTACCATATGTTGCACTTTTCTAGATCCTGGTAGTGTGTTACTGCAGGCAGCAGAATATAAAGCTCTGGAAAAAATTAAGAGACCATTACAAAATGATCAGCTTCTCTGATTTTACTTTTTATAGCTATATGTTTGAGTAAAATGAACATTGTTCTTTTATTCTATGAACTACTGACATGTCTCTGATATTCCAAGAAAAAATTTCTTATTTATTTGCAGAAAATGAGAAATGCTCAAATTAATGAAACAGATGCAGAGCTTTTGGACCTCAAATAATGCAAAGAAAAGTTTATATTCATTCAGAAACAACAATACTAATGTTTTAACTCAGGAAGAGCTCAGAAATCAACCAGGAGGTTTTCAAAGGGGTTCAGTGCAGCGGGCTCAGTGTGTCTAAATAGAATTACCCCAAGTTATTATGACTAGATTCTCATAATTAAACAAAAATGCTCGTAGCTTGGTCCTAATACTCCATTTTACAACGTAAAGAAGGGATGATTGAACTAAAAAACACTCTTTGAAAATAGTTTCTGTCATTTGTATTTACTTTTTTAGAAATGGCAGTGAGCAACACAAAAATTTATCAATTAAGATTAGAAATCGGATCTGGTATGAAAAAATCTGAGATTATACTTTTAAGCAATATCTCCGATTCTTATTACAAATCCATGGCACATTTTTTATTTTATAAATGGTGGAAACTACACATTATTCTCCTTCCGCTTCATATAAACCAACTATAAAACGTGTTGGAGTTTCAAATACTGTTCTCCTTTTACTTTGTATCACAGTACTTGAGAACTTTACGGATGGTATTGCTGAAGTTTTAACAAATAAAGCTCCACAGATCCTTACAGAACTTTACATAAGGATTAATAAGACATTTGAAGCACCAAACATTTCCACAGTTACTTGCTCAATGTCTAAGAATAGAAAAAAATCTGTCTTCTCCACAGTTGAGAAACTAGGCGTTTTTTGCAATAATCCACCCCTCTGAGTCCATTATCTGCCCGGGCCAACAAATTTAGATTTCACCCACCAGGACCTCCCCCATCCATCTGTCAGCATGCTCTTCTCCCAGCTGAGTTGGAGACGTGTGAACGCCACACTCCATCAAGCATGTCAGCTTGTAGATTACACCCCAGACAGCGCCACAAGACTTCTCCATTACCTCCACATCAAAATACCAAAATTAGCTGAGCACAGCAGCAGTGGGACCGTTCCTGTCTGCCCGTCGTTTAACTTTGCATGGAAAAGAGTGAGCATCAACTCAGCAGCTAATGTGCTGGGTGTGTCGATTCAATTTCATTTAACCTTTTCACAATTTGTTGTTGTACTACAACAAGGTTGAATGGATTTTATGTGACAAACCAACACAAGGTAGTGCATAGTTGGAAATTGGAAGGAAAACAGGGTATCATATAGAGTCCAGTCGGTTTTTTTGTACTTAATCTAATTGCAGGTGCTCTGTGCAGGCCTCATATTATTATTAAAGATCATAAATGAAACAACAGCTTCTTAAAAACCAACAAGGCAGGTCAAGAATATCCTCTTGGAGAAGTTTAAATCAGAGTTGAGTGTCTCATTGATCAATATTTAAAAAGAAACAGTTTCCATATATACCAAGACATCACTGTTTACCTAAACTAACAGGAAGCGTAATGAGAGCATTAATCAAAGTTGCAGCAAGAGATGCTTCTGCAAGGCATTCACACAAGGAATCACACTTTTCTGATTATTTATATAGAAACATTGCAAACTGTTTTTATTTCACTTGACAATCATTCCTTCTTTTTGTTACTTTACTGTAAAATGCCACTAAAAACAACGAAGTTTTAACCATCTTAAAATGTTCACAAGACTCATTTAGTGAAGCACAGATCCACCTCACAAAAACACATGTAACAGATTTGCCTGAATTTTATATCACGTTTCTTCTTTTCTGAGATTTTTTACTCTGTGGCTCATTTATAAGCACTCCCCTTTACCGCAGTTTACTGCATCGATTTATTGGACAAACAGGCACAAACCCAAGGTTGCACACTGTAGTTATACTCTGTGTCACTTGGTGAGTGCAAGGACAGTCTATACGAAGCCTTTACAGCGGTTGAGTAAAGGCAGTGTAGGCTAAAATCCAATCCTGTTTTCAGAGTTTATATGCTCCAAAGTGCTTCAGTCATCTTTTTAAAAAATCAGTTTAATTAGCTGCAGAACATCTGTGCCATGTTAGCAGACTCGTAGAAAGTGACATTGAACAAGGTTGACACGAACACAGAAGGAAAGACGAGACTGAGAGGTGTTCCTCTGAGGAAACTCCTCTGGTAAAACTGAAGCGTTATGGAGAAGCTGTCTCTCAGGAGATGTACTCTGTTGGCACTGATGTTCTGACAACAACAGTTATATTGCAGCGATACACTGGAGGAGCAGCGAGGCACAAAGCTTTTAAGATCGATTGGTCTAGATGTGAATGGCTGCTGATCCTCAGACTCTTGCTTAAGAAGGGTGGTAAATGTCTGGAGCACATAGATCATTTTACAAATGGAGAAACACGCAGAATACTAAAACATCTAATTTTCATTATCTATAGCTTCACTAATGATGTGTAACTAATTCATAACAGTTTAATAGGTTATTTATGGTTCTATATTTATGTTTCTGTGCAAATGTTGACATTTTTGTATAAATTAGTTTCATCCCACATTAAAAAAAAAACAGTACAGCTTTTCATCATTCAGTTCTGCTTTCGGGTATAAAAGAAAGAACGAAAGAATTCAGCAGATAAAATCTGCAACTCGTCTCTCTAAAATCTGCACTTTAGTAACTTTGGTTTGTCCATCAGGTGTAAATAACCTTAAAAATGAGTTCATGTTTGTCGGTGGTAAAACTTAAATTTTTCCTTTTTGTTTTTTATTCTTTTGCAGGCTTATTCCGTCTATGATGAGGAAATAGGTTACTGTCAGGGTCAGTCTTTTCTGGCTGCCGTTCTTCTTCTACATGTGAGTAAACTTGTCCCCCATTAAATCTCCATTGATTAGCTTAATGATTAATGCAGTCAGAAATGTGGCCTCATAATCTTGCCTGTTACATTTTATATAAAAACTAATGACGGGTAAAACTTGTTTTTTTTATATATGCTCTGTCCATGTATATGTGATGTTTTATTCAGCCTCTCTAAACAACATTTTTTACGTTTCACTTCACTGGTTTTGTGCAGATTTAAATGTTAAACTTTTGAAGCATCCAACTTATGTCTGAATCAAAGTTGGGAGAAAATGATCACTTTACATCCCGACTTATTTTCTCTGCTGTGTTGTGTTTTTTATTTACCTACTTATTAATTTATATTCTGTGTGGGGTTTTTTTATATTTATATATATATATATATATATATATATATATATATATATATATATATATATATAAAATTATTGTTGCAATATCTCGTGTACATGTTGGAAAACGGACAGAAATGTTAAAAATTCTGACTAGAAATTAGATATTTCTTGTAAGAACCCAGTTCTTTGTAAATCTGAACACCTGCATTTCTGTCTCTTAAATACCTTTTATGTTCATTTGTAGTTTGTAAGCATCTTTATGTTGATGTTTTTTTTTCTTTCTTTCTTTTTGATGTTTCTTTGAGCTACTTATATCACGGCTCATTTAATAAGAATATTATTTGCCACTGTTTTCCAACAGTGAAAGTTGACACTCAAAAAAGAGACAAAACAACAACTATGACTAAAATCAAGTTCATAAATAAATGTTGTTAGTGTCGGGTAAACATTTATAACTACATTTAAAAACGGTAGAAATCAAAGACATATATACTTAGTGTTATATTTCACATGGGGTGACTATTATTGCCTATTTCTATTACACAAATTTTAACTGGAGGAAATTTTGTGAGAGAAAGTCTGCAAAGACAGATGGAGGAGAGAGAGAAGAGGTGACAACACATGATGGAGGAAGTCCCAAAAGGAGGAGAGACTGGAGGAAGTTTGATCAAAGTCCAAATACCAAGGGCAGGAGAGGTTAAAGAGCAGAGAGACGGAGGGGAGATGTCAGGAAGGATGAGGAAGGAGAGTCATGAAGAAGGGATCTGAGAATGAAGAGACAGAAGGAATTGGTGTGGAGGAGGAAGAGGAAGTTATGGAGGAAGAGGCAGTAAAGGAAGAAAGGAGAAGAAGTGATAAGAAGGACACTACTGTAAAAGAAGGAGGATGACTGGTTGTTTATAGACAAGGTGTCTGGAATATTTATTGGGGTTCAACTTTACCTGCAGAAGTGCATTCAGCTCCAAACACACACTGTCTCTCTGATTAAATATCTCCTCCCTCTCTGTGTGTGTTTGTGTGGAGCCATTAATATCCACAAAGACCCAGTGTTACATTTTCACGAATAAGCTTTATACTTATGTGCCCAAGCAAACACAGAACATGAAGAGAAGTTATACACAATAAAATTAAGGCAAAAATTTACATTTTTAGACTTCCAGGCGATAAGCAAATGCTTTTTGGTTTCTGGAAAATTTACCTCTGGAATGTAACGTCACAAATCACCTAGCAACCCCAGCAAAGCCCAGCCCGTTACCTAGCAACCCCAGCTGAACTCCAGCATGTTTTGGCCAGCTGGTTTTACCTCTGCATGCGCTGTACAATGGCTGCTGGAAGAGACGAGTGTTTTGTTGTCCACTTACCATCCAGAAACCACTTGCTGCATTCTTGCTGGTTGTGCAGGAGGCTCTACTTTTGCTGTTCAAAGATTTACGGTTACATAATTGCACATCTGTTTGCAGCCGTTTTGACAGTGTAAATGTGGGACATGGCCAGCAGCAGCTTAGATTGATTTAAAGTGACAAGAGGCTCTAAAGCAGCTTGTTCTGAAAAGACTTCAAAATAGGCAAAGCTGAGCAGACTAAACTCTCATTTTCTAAGAATGATTTTGTGTAAAAAAAAAAAAAAAAAAAAAAATTATAATTTTTTATTTTTATTTTTTTTTTTTTTTTTTTTTTTTTTTTTTTTTT